AGTGTGACCCCATCACTATAACAGGAGTCCCCCCCCGTGTGACCCCATCATTGTACCTGATAATAATCTTCAGCCCCCTGTCTGTGAGCTGCAATCCAGGAAGTAGAAGGAGGAGGACGGACAGACACTCCACCCTATAACAGACAACTTACCTCCCCGCCCTGCCCAGGAACCATTGCCGCTGCTCTCATTAACCCCCGGGCTGCCAGGCACCCTTCACTGCCATCGCTGCCGTGCAGAGGATTCTGGACCACACGGGCTGTTCTAAGATCTTCATGGGAACAGTTACTATTCACTTCCAGGGTTATCCCTAAAAGGGTGAGGAGTCTGGAGAAGGCCGAGAAGGGAACAATCTGGGACAACATCGCTGATATGGAAAGTGAGATGAATTGTAGAATGTTTCCAAATCGGCTATTCTGGCCTAGATTGTTCCCTTCTCCGGCCTTCTCCAAACTCTTCACCCTTCTGTGACCAGCCCTGATAAACCCCTTCGTGACCGCAATACGACTACGCATGTAGCCCCTCGCCGTGATGTGTGTGGGATGAGCCTACAGGAGGTTGTACAGGGATTGTATGGTCAGATTGTGATGAGACTACAGGAGGTTGTACAGGGATTGTATGGTCAGATTGTGATGTGTGTGTGATGAGACTACAGGAGGTTGTACAGGGATTGTATGGTCAGATTTGAGACTACAGGAGGTTGTACAGGGATTGTATGGTCAGATTTTGATGAGACTACAGGAGATTGTACAGGGATCACACAATCTGATTGCATAGTGCATGGCATCACACACAGGGATATAACGCCACCAGCACTCTGAGGGTTAATAAAGCAGTTGAATGGCAATATGCGAATACATCGACTATTGCTTTATTAACCCTCAGAGTGCTGGTGGCGTTATTTCCTATTGACTTTCTTCACGGTGCCATCCGTGGTCACTACGAGCACCCACCCGTCCAGACAGGTCCTCTTTCCCTCCGGTAAGGAGTGCAGCAAGAACTCTTGGTCTTTCATGTTTGCACTTAGATCACACAGATTACTCGGACGGGATCCAACCTCATCTACTATGTAACCTGGCAGCAGAGAACTAGGAATGTGCACCTGAACGTGTTCCTAGTGCTCGGACCCGATGTCAGTCCGAGAAATCAGCTATAGAGTTCATGTCCAGGTAAATGTGGGCTGGGTGTCGGTGCCGTGCTATGGTGTGAGCGTCCCCTCAGAGTGCTGCTCCTCCCGCTGCGATTTCCCCCCAGACTCCAACACTACACATGAAGACAGGCACTGTAATGGAGTA